ATGGGTGTGTGCCTCCATTTGATGCTGCACCTGAACTAACGCCCTCTTCTGTGAAGCAGAGGAGCTAGAAAAATATGGCTGTAACACTTATGACTTTTATTTTAACCCTGTGCCACATCGTGCTTCACAGATTTATTGGCTCTTCTGGAGACAGCTGCAGATGTGGGCACCTAATCCATCATGTCACTGTACACACCCTAAAGGTGTAAGAAGGTCTTTCTTCCACAGAAAACAAGTTTTTCCACAAAGTTTATGGAAACCAAAATTAGGCCACTGAAGCTGAGATACTTCTGGGGTGGCAGTATTGACCTAACTCTTTGAAGCTTTAAGAATTTCTTACTGGAAAGCTTGTTTCATCAGAGTGTGATTAAAAGGACACTGTCTTTCAAGGAGAAGGCAGAGACAAATGAGTCAAAATAAAATGATAGATTACACAGACAAGGACAAGATGCTTTTGCCTGGTGATATAGAGGAATAGCACCAGGGAGCACAGAACACTGGAATAAAACAACCTCAACAGTTGGGATTCATCCCTATTACAGGCATAAACAAATAAAAAGTATCAAGTGAACTTGCAGAAAACTCATAATAGGGGTGTCAGAAGTGTACTGGGACATCACAGTTCCCTGGCCTGTGTTTATTCCATTTTACTGTGTGAATTAAACCTACAGTTCATTTTTTGGCAGCTGTAAACATTAATTGACATGCCAGTTTGGAGATCAGCTATACTGCTTTTATGATGTACAGGAAAAGCTATCATGGAATTAACTCTCATGCAGTGAGCTGGGAAGAGAAGGTGGGTTAAGGGTATCATTTCATGCAAGCTGTGCAGCTGCACAGAGCCTATATGGCTCAATCATAATTGTTTTTATGGGCTTTTGAAAGCAAAACAAAGAAAGAAATCACTGCTTTGAACTGGCAAAGTATCTTCTTAAAGGCCCTTAAATTATTTTATTTATTTGGTTTGTATCTGTAGAAGACTAGATAAAAAATTTGGGATTTTCCTACCTGTTTTCTCATTTCTACCTCTGATTAGGAAAAGTTCATATTAACTGAGTGAGAAGTGCACAGCAGCCAGGATTTTGATGTTCCCACAATAAAGAATACCACAGGGATGATGAACCATTTCTAGAACTACAGTGAACTTTGACTCCAGAATATTTGCAATAGCACAGGCCTGGAAACAAAATATTCAGAAATTTTGAACTTGTATAACCAGGTATATATATCTATATTACTGTATAACCAGTTTCATACATATATATATACATATATATATACACATAAATATACACATATATATATACACACATATATATTACATATATATATGTATATATATGTATATATATATGTATACATATATATATATAGAGAGAGAGAGAGAGAGAAAGAGATTTTGAACCTGTATAACCTGTTATACATGTAACCGACTTCCTGACATGGAATATGCAACTGATTTGATACAAGTTATTATAATAAAGGCCAGTTACAGGTGCTGAAGGATGTTACTAGGATATTACAGACCAAATCAAAAGTATTCTACAGCATCGGAACGATGGCCAAGATTACTTTTTAAAAATGCTTTGTTTGTCTCTAAGAATCAAAAAAAATCTGTTTATGCTTTTATTTTTTTTTATTAGTCACTAGTTAAAGGTCTTATTTCCTTCTCTTTTTTTTTTCCTTTCTTAAACTAGTTTCATCCTGTTATACCTAATGGAATTATAATCCTTTTTACTCCATGCATTTTTCAGAGGATGCAAACATTTTCATACTAATTGCCTGTGCAATGCTAAATAATCCATTTCAGGCACAGCACAGTTAATCTTTTCTGTTTCTGGCAGAATTAATGGTAAGAAATATTTTGCTACAGTTGAGTATAAATTCCTATCTGGAAATATATACTGTCTGACAAGATATTAGGCAAATATTGAATACTGCACTGAGAATGAAGCCTTCTAAACAGCTTCTAAATTTACATAAACCATATTAATTAATTAATCTTCTGCTAAAAATACAACATGCACATCTGTGTTCAGTATAAAATTTTTCAGTCTGGTAGCATCTTGGAAAGATCACAGTGGAAACTCTCAAAAACTAGGAAACAAATCCAAGACCCTAATCAGTCAACTGCAGCAAACTGGATCAGAGAGCAGGAGCTCTGCCTGCCACTGTGGTCATTCCTGCCAGACATCTGGCTTTTCAACCTGAGCCAGCAAGGAGAGGAAGCATGGAGAAACCTGAGAAAATATTGTAAAATCACCAGGGATATCTGAGTATGCAACAGATTTGTAACACTTCGTATGGTGCCTGTTGTTTAACAGTGTGCCCGAGAATAAGGTTTGCAAACATTTAGCATTCCTCTTGTAGCTGTATTTGTCAGGATCCTGAAAGGTGCTAGGCTCTCTTCCTCTCCAGGAAGAGGCTTGCAGGCATAGCACTGCAGGGGAGCAGAGCCTCTGAACATTTTGCTAGGATGTGGTTTTGCAGCTCTCAGTTGTGCTACAGTATGGCAACAGGACTGTGTCCCTACAGCCCATTTCAGAATTTAGGAGCAACTAGGCAGATAATCAAAAGATAAAATGAGCAGAGAAAATGTAATTACATGTCTTTTTATCCATAAATGCTGCAGTGCATAAGGCAAACAAAGTGTGAAAGTGTGAAACTGACTGGAGATCACTTTATCACAGTGGTCAAAAATACCTCACAGCTTCTGCACTTCTTTCTTCTAAAGTATTTCTTAATATGGCTTGTATCCTTGAAACAGACTTTGGAGTTATCTGAAATTGCCATGTGACAAGGAATGAATTTACCATACTACCATTGATGGCTGAAGCCTGCTGGCCATCCAGAACCCACAGGAGGCACAGCCAAGTGTCACTGCACTGCCAGACTCACCTTCTCATTCCTTTGAATGGATGCTACCCTTGAGAAAAGGAGAGGCATCAGCCAAACCTGCTCTGCTTCAGTGATTTGCGGCTTCCCAGAGCCCACAGGTATTGTTAGGAACATAGCACTAGTTACAACAGAGTTTCTTTGGGCTTCAGCATACACCAAAAGACTTAGGACAGATTTAGCATTGTTTATAGCAATTCTTTCTGCCATAAATGGCATGTGACAGGAATGTCATAAAGATTTTTCACAGTAATGGCCTCCCAACCTCAAGTTTTTGAGTTAATATTTGTCCATTGCTGTCAACAACCATTTTTCTAGATGAGCCTTTGGGGATATGTAAATATTTATTTATTTTATAATCTGAAGTATGTACCTTTTGTTTCTAAATCACCTTTTAATTATCTGGTTTCAGTTTCTAACTAATGCCTCACCTGCCTGTCTCTAATCTTCCCTCTGGCTCCCTGAAGACTTTCCTTATTTTGAGACCAAATTTAACCACATTATTTTCCTGTAATCTGCAGGTGATGCTTTTCTGTGGGTCAGGATTTGTGCTAAATGAGTTGTGGGCGGACTAGATGTTTTCTTGGGCTTTGGTTGCATCTGAGTTTAAAAAGCAGTTTAAAAGACTTAGTTCATTCTTCTGCTGCCAACAGTATGCACCTCATTCTCCATCTGAATTCTAGATTGCCTATGTTATTTTTTTTCATTAACTAGTATATTTGTGTGCTTTAAAACTGGTTTACAGGCTGGAGGATTCAGTTCAGAAGGTAAATTGCAGTTACTGATGATGTTTGTAGAATCAAAACGCAATTCTGAACTTTTACAAAATATTTTCTGTGGCAGCAGCTCTCTGGCCACAGAGAGCAACAGGCATAATTTTCCCAGGCACTGCCCTGGGGGAAGGCTGTGAGAAGATCAGAGAAAAGAATGATAAACAATTCTTATCTTTACTTGCTGCACCTGTTGTTGTGAACACGCGGAATGTTTTATGTAGATTTGTTTACCAGAGGGTGGTTTCTTAGTCAGCCACTGGTGATGGTGTTTGGATTGAAGGACCAGTTGGGTCCACCTGTATCGTGTCAGTCAGTCTTAAGCGACAGGCGAGCGCTGTTCCGAAGGGGAGCAGGGTTCCATGTAAACAGCAGCTGAGCATGGGTTCAGTCGGTCCTAAGCGACAGCGAGCACCATTCCAAAGGGGAACCTTCTGAGAATCATGGAGTCAAGGCTAATTATTACCCAGCTGAGGGCCTGCGGCGACATTTTCACTGGTTCTTTTTTGCTTCCTTGAAATTCTGGGATGACAATAACCCAGTTAAGAAAATAAAACAACTTCCTTTTAATAGCAAAAACTATGATCTGGAACAGCTTGAAAACGAGGAAGGAGACAAAGTCACCCAACTTGATATGCGATCATTGACAGTGATCTGTCTCTGTAGGGTGGGGTGAAGGAGTAGAGTCAATTCTGCACACGAGGTACAGGCATCAAATGGGGTTCTTCAAATAGACTCTTCTCCTCTAACAACTTAATTGATCTCAAAATCAAGGGGCAACTCAAAAGCTTATGTTCACACAAGCGCATGTTGCCTTCACTTGTCATTATATTGGGCTGCTCACTGGAGCTCTTTCGAGGTGGGGTGGGTTTGGCAATTTTTTTGTTGTTTTTTTTGGTTGGGTTTCTTCTTTTTTTTGGGGGGGGAGGGGGGATGGGATTTGATTTGGGGTTTGGGTGGTCATTTTTCCATTATATACTAGAGCATACAGAATTTTGCAGCTGTGTGTATTCACTTTGATCTAATGTGAATAGAGAGATACCAGACTATAAAATTACCAGTTGTTTGGTTGATTGAAAAGG